TAATTGACAAATGATCATTTCACATAGACTCTATGCCTTTCACTTTACAAACGATGATTTTCCGTTATAACTATAAATCGAATGATGTTTTTATTCACCTAATTCATTATAAAGTTTATTTAAAAGCTTTAAAAAATTCGAAATTGAAATGGATAGTCTAGGGAACATACTGTATTAATGTACTCTACTGCATATAATTTGTGAAAATTTACATGATTTATACACTTTGAACTCCCTTTCAGGCTGAAAGGGACTGAAAAAATTCATACCTAGAGATTCTCTAAATTCCCCTCTAATATATATTCTATTCTCTTTGGTTGTATTACTCAGATCAAAGAAATAGTGTGGTTAAGTGGGGAGAGTGTATGGTCTTCAAAAGACAATATTTTCTAAAGAATTTTCTCTTTGAAGTAAACTTTTATTATACATCAAAGCTGCACCATAACACACTAATGATTGTGTATGGCCGGTCACGACAAAAAAATGTCTTCAAAAAAATTCAGATTTTTTATTTATAGAAAGAAATAATGGTGAAATTGAAAGCAACATTTAAAAGCTAAAATCATTACTACAAAGGCCTAACTATAATTATCATTATTACTGTTATAATAGGATTTTTCAAAAAAAAAGGAATTCAGAATATATACCTGTCAATAAGTTTGAGAGTGTTTTTATAAAAATGATTGATGAACTCTTTCAGGTAAGCATCATGAGTCTCTGGGGCCAACCCTTCACGACCAATCCATTCTATCTCATATCTTCCAAAAAAAATTAAGTTAAAATGAGTTAAGTTGCTTCAGAAATAATTCTGCATCAAAACAAGCTTTAAGATTCGTTTTTTTGTTGGTTAAACTATTTATGAAAACTATATAAATAAATGGTACAAGCTTATAATTGATTCTGTGAAGAAAAAAATGAAAAATGATACCTTTTATAAATACCCTTGTTTTTCAGCATCTTATTCTTTGCCAAGACATCCCTAAAAAAGTGTAAATACACCCAAAATGGAGGTAAATTTTAAATGTATATAGATCAATAGTTCTAATAATAAGATTATTTGAAATTGCCAGAATATTGTCGTGTATTTAGCAAAATATTTTTTCTTCAAATATTTTAATGTGAAGCCTTTGTTTTTGAAAATTCAAATAAAATGATCGACAGAATACAAAGAAAAACGGCCTAACGTCATTCTAATGTGCTTTTAAACCAATCTTAAATTAAAAAACCGGTTTACAGAGAGAAAACGCATGCCCGTTGGTTAATTTATTTTTCTATTTTTCTACAGTATTCTCGGTACAAATGACAAAGTCATCGTTTCTGTCTAGACATATATATTGGGTACCACTGTAGTAAATAAATAGTTTGGGGACCACTGCGTTATAAATGTTTTCACCTGTAATAAGTAAGAAAATCCTGTGCTTCTTGATCCACATGTCGATCCATTATGTCAATAAATGCAGAGGCTCGCTTCAAGTTTTGAAGATTTATATTTCTGAGTATCCTGGATTTAGAATAAATGTTTTCAGTATCCTAGATTTAGAATATATGTTCTCAGTATCCTAGATTTAGAATATATGTTCTCAGTATCCTAGATTTAGAATATATGTTCTCAGTATCCTAGATTTAGAATATATGTTCTCAGTATCCT